AAAATGATAGTCCTGCGGCCTGTTGTGCTGCAATCCCACTCTTCCTGCCATTGTGCCGTAGCTTTGAGTCTGAGTGACTTTTTCAGGTCGGAAATAGGCCAGGGGATGTTGACATGGGTGTGTGTGCTTCTCTTGTGGCAGCCAGCCTCTTTAGCAAGGCGTTTCATTTCCGTCATGGCCGGCGTGGGCCTTCACCCAACCTATTCTAATGTTCCTATTTTGGTACTCAAGTAGATCATTTTGAATTTCTGTGATTATGGCCGAGAAATGTTCCGGATTGCTAATAGCGTGGAGAGAGGAGAGGCTGTCAGTTTTGATCGAGGCTCTGTAAAGATTTTGATTGAGCGGATGGCCTTGAGCTATGGCCACAGCTTCTCCTTGAAACACACTATTGTGTTCACGCAGCTTCCCTTTCCATTCTGTTACAGTAACTCGAGCTTGTATGGCCACGTAGGCGCACCCGACCTGATCATTAATCTTGGAGCCATCTGTATAAATGACCATGTTACTAGACTGTCTTGTATCGGTTCCAAGAGTGTTAACACGTTGAGCGCCACGCGTATGTTTTAGGCAATCCCTTTCAGGCCACGCGCTTCTCTTGAAAGCGCTGGTAATGTAGGGCCAGTGATTCGTATCGCGGTAGAAGATAGCAACAAGTTGTGAAAAAGAAGACATTTCGTCGAACAAAAATGCAAGAATATCTAGAAAACGACAACATAAACTCCGAAGAAAACCGGGAAAAGCCTCTAAAGTACGAAAATATTGTAAATTATGTTATGATAAAAATGCAACAGAAGCTGGTAGAAAGACTAAGAGTGTTGTTACATTTTGTAATAGCTGTAATGGAGAACCGTTTTTATATTTACCGTATTATGGGTCGAGGTGGATGCTCTGTGTTAACCTTTTGGAAGGTACAAATAGGGCGCAGCCCCATCCACCTAATCGACAAGATTTTATGACAAACAATTGCAAGGTATTCCATTTCAGAGGTATTCCAGCAACTCTGCCATTCCTGGTTAGGTAGTCTGTGCCTTGTTCTGTTACAATGGTAATGGCCTGTGCCGTAGCTGCCTGGGCACGCTGCAGGTTTATTTGGATGCATTTGGTGGTATCTCCGGTGTGTCTGGTTCCGCTGTTGATTATACTTCCCAGAGTTTTGTGCGGAGCAGGAGAATCAGCAGTTTGGAGTGATGCTGCGGATGTACTGGGCAGTACGCTGGTATTCGGGACAATCTGCGCTATATGCTGGGTGGCAGAAGTTGTGCCTGGTACCGTGTCTATGGTATGCGTCCCCGCAGTTAATGCATTCTGGCTCTGTTGCTGAGCATTCCTGGATTCTATGGTTGCCGGCGCAGAAGGCACAGTGTTGTTTCCCGCTCTTGCATTGATCTTGCGTGTGACCAAGTTCCTGGCACCTGTAGCATCTTCTGATACCCGTGATGTTATACCTGATTCTGTGATGTTATGGACGTTCCAGCCAGTGAATATCTTTCTTGTGGACATAACTGCGTGGAAGCTGGATGGCTCACACTCCACGATCCATCGTACCCTGTTGCCTCTCCGCTCTTTAAGTCTAAACAGGGCTTTAAGTGTACTTTCTGGAACTCCTGCTGTGGAACTGAGCTCAGTAATGAGATCTTCTGCCTTAATGCTATCTGGCACGTTGTGGAGGGTGCAACGTGGTTTCCTACGTTGTCTGTCCTAGATTGTGGCTTGGACTTCTGCTCGTGCAAGATGGTTCTTGAGTTTGTGGACATCTTCCGCTGTGTTGCAGAAGACCTCTAAAGACCCGTCCACACGAGTACGCTCGAAACGTAGCTGACGAACGCGCTTTTATGTTAACAGCGTAAAAGCGTCCAAACGAGTACGCTTGCGAAGAGTGCGTTTAACCAATAGAATTATTTTGCGCAAAAATCACGTGACGCTGTAATATAGCGTCAACAGAGCTGTATCTTATTACTTCGCTGTTCTTCTGTATGTTTTGCGGCAAGGTGTCCGAATCAGATGATTTTTTTATAGCTGAAACTTTACTATTATGTGCAATTATTAAGCAGAGGCAAAACCGCAAAAAAATGGCAAGAATGAGTCCGAAAGATTTATTTAGAGCGACCTGTTCAAAGAGATTTTTTTTTTTTTTAGTGCCTTGTTTGCGAAAGGAATATCTGGAATTATTAAATTCCTACTATTAGTTCACACTCTCTGTATATCCTGTTCAAATTTTCAGTACATAAAATGCTTTTTATTCATCCACTCAAGTTCAAATACAATTTTTTAAACTTGCAGTGAATGACACTTGATGTTAATACAGCTTTTTCACATATTAAATTTTTTTAAATTTTTAATTAAAAAAATATGTTTGTATTTTTATTTATTTATTTATTTTTGCATTTTTAAACTTTTCTTTGTGGACCTAAGTAGGAATTGACTTAATTTTTTTTTTGGGGGGGGGCATATTACTTGTTTTTTAATTCCTTCAGGATGAGTATCGACCAGTTTGACAGACTTGCAGATTCTATATCGTATGAAAATTAGGATTTATAAAATTGGTTTTGGAATACAGTATATAAAGAGAATTAAATTACTTAATTCTCTTTATATACACCATCCACCATATAATAAAACCAACTTCATATTTTTTTTAACTCGCTCTCCCTTGGTCTTTTGTTTTCCTTTTTATTTATTTTTGAATTTAGAATGAGGTTCAAACTTTGGACAGTTTATAAGAAATTATGTGCATGATAAAATATGCAATAAACTAAAAATAAGAGAGAATTTATAGATGATATATGATAAAGAGGTGCAGATATATTTTTACGTAAGGATTTCTATTTGCATTGCACATTTTTAAACTAAATTAAAAACAATAATAATAATGAATAAAATAAGAAATGAAAACAATAATAATAGGTAAAATAAGAATATAATGATTCATGATTAAATATAAGAAACACGTTTCAAAATGAGAAAAGCTAACTGAATTGTACCGTCTACGGCTGAGTTCGAACTTGCCACCTTTCCATTCCTCCGCTACCAAAGCAGCGCGCTGACCACTCAGCTTTCTGTGATAGCAGTGTTTGTGAAAAATAATGTAACAAGTAGAAGTCGCTGCAAAGGTAATTTAATTAAACTTCAAGAAATGATTGCTGTATGACACAAGTTGTAACTTTCCCCCAAAATTTCGTAATTGTATTTTATTGAATACTCTTTCACAGTCAACTGCTTTATTTTAGAAGTTATTATATTGCTGAAGTTAGTTTTTGGTGTATTTAATATTGGGATATTTATAGAGCTTTTTATTACACATGATATAGCCAATATTTATAAAATTAAGGAGAATTTTGTAAGGCAGAAACTTTGATTTCGTAGAAACTGTAATTTATTTAGGTTCCTATTACTTACGGTGCTATAAATAGGTGAAGCATATGGATATACTGGTCGGATCATTGCTTTATAAGAATACAGTTTTCCCCTTTAATGAGAATTTTAAATGTATACTAATATGTACGGTTTGAGAAATCTGAAAATGGCGTGAACAATGCTGATTATTTTATTGCTGTATACAGTTATATTTCTAAGCAAAAACTCACCTCTGTGTGGCTCTGACGCCATATTGAAACGGGTAAGCAAGAAGGTTTTCTGATTATGACACGTGATAAAAACTCGGTCGGCTATTGGCTATACGCGCGCTTCGCGGGCGAAAAAGCTGAACAGGAGCGTACTCAGTTTCACGTCTTCTGCGTCCTGCGAATTTACGCCGGCGTCAAAAAAGTTACGTCAACTACGTCGGGAGCGTCCTCGTGTGGACGGGCCTTAAGTCCCCTTGCGCGACAGGTGCTATCCTGTTCACTGCAATACTGAGGTTCTTTGGGCTGAAGGTTGGGGCTTTGGCCTGAAGTTCTTTCTTTAGGTCTGTGATTTTTATCACCTAATGGCTTAATTATAAGACTGAAATGTTATTAAAGAATACTTGTGAGATGGACGACGGTCACTTGATTTTTAACAAAGGCTGACCACTACAGTCTTTGTTTATTGTTTCCTAGGTTCGGCCCGCCAGCGGCCGAGCGGTAAAATCGCTAAACACTAGTAATTCGATTCAAAGTTTGAATCCCGCGAACGGGCTGGCTGCGTGGTCGTTTCTGTGGTCTTCCCCCATGTGTAACTTGTATATGAACCAGGTTCCCTTAGAAAACCCTCCACGATGGCATCCCTGAGGCAGATAACCCTCGAGGCTTTGCCGTAATCAAATTAACCAAACCAAACCTTCCTAGGTTCATGAATACAAAGGTGAAAGTCAGTACTGCTGTTTCCAACAAATTTGTGTATGTACATATATGTCCTTGGAAGCAGATAAATCGTAAAGCTGCTTCCTGTGCTGAGTCGATAAGACCGCTAAATACTAGTAGTCCCTGGATCAGCTTCTAGCAAACTGGCTGTCTGCACAGTATTCCTCCCCCTTTCTTAACCATTGTATAACGTGAATACAACAATTTCTCTTAGAAAATCCTCCTCTGAAACCATTCGTTCTACAACACGGAGCACTGTCATGCTTTCCATAATTAATGGAACTCAGCTTAATTTTAAAACGAGTTTTCACTTTTAATCGTAGAACTCAACAATTGCCGTGGATATACTGTATATTTCCTGATACTGGTATTTAGTGTATAAAATATTTATGTATATTGCGCTTTTTATATGAACTGCTACAAAGCTCAATAAAATACATTTTCAGGATTTCACTTCTGTTGCATTGATTATTTAATCTAAAATTCTGCCTATTCTATGATCGTTAAAATAAAGGCATGCACCAGGGCTGATGTTATTATTATCGCACAGCATACCAATATAAACTTTAAAAAAAAATGTTGCTAGACCATTTTCATGTTTAATTTGTAAACTGTATGTCACTGAATAATGCTTTGGATTAGGTATTTTAAATTTCACTGACATGTGAATTCAGAAATCCAATTTAATCTAATTACTAATATCTTTTATAATTACAGATTTTAGTTGGCATTCTGTTGGTAGTCGTCGGTCGTTGGAACATCAATAACAGAAAAGAGCAGAATGTAGCCAATGTCACCAACAATATCATCGTTATTCTGATCTTTCTTATTACGGTGGTTAACGTTCTAATCACTGCTTTTGGTGATGAAGATACTGATGACTTCCCAAATCCTAGCCATTGGTCAGAGCCACGAAAAGAACTGATGATAGACGACACTTCTCGCCTCGAAAGGGATCTTAAAGCGACAGCCCAAAACATGGTAGCATGAGTGAGTGGCATAAACTTCAAAAATCCTTGAACTACGTATGCAGCTACTGGACAGAATTATTCATTTGCAAATCATAACTACTGTTGATAATTCATGACATTTTCAATAAATTCAGTCCGATGAAAATGTGACTGAATGGCGATTTTGAAACATTTGTAATTCATTTTCATTCCAGTTGAAGGATTTTCTTTGCGAATGTTTTGACAGTGCCATTTTAGGTCAAGAAGTAGTATGATACTTAAAATAAACATTCAATATTCTTTATATCATCTTATGTCTATTACGATGCATTTTTGGAGCACTTACATTGCTTTGATAGGAAACTAATTTGAATGTTCTTCTCTGTATTTGTTGGCAATTATCTGTTTTTTGACTAAAATCGAATGTTATTTCATCAATGATTTAATAATGCAACTTGAAATTGTACTTTTTGAAATTCATTTAATCACGTAACATCTTAAAATAAAGCTATTTATTAAACTTTGTTTTCTAGATTGTGGCTTTCGGTATTCTGAGAAGTATCAACTACATTGTTGCATTGATTTCATGGGAATCGTATAATTGAAACAATGAATTTTAAAAATGCCTTGTGACAAAATTCAGTTTCTTCTATAAACAACCTCTTAGCCTGTTTAAATCTTGATAGAGTGCAGGGCATGAAACCTTACCTTCTCCCATGGATGCCCACCAGCGGCCGAGCGGTAAAGACGCTGAACACTGGTAGTTCGGTCCAAAGTTCGAATCCCGTGAACGGGCTGGCTGCATGGGTATTTTCGTGGTTTTCCCCATGTGTAACCTGTATACGAGCCAGTTTCCCTTAGAAAGTCCTCCACGAAGGCATCCCTCCCCTCAGGCAGATAGCCCTAGTCTGCTTTGCCATAATAACACCACACCACATTTTAACGATAAACGGAAGTGGGCGAAGCTATTATTCACAGTTTTCAGTGATTTAAACTTTCTGTCACTGATGAATAAAAAAAAAATACTTCTTAGTTGGGAAAAACCGTATAATTCAATCATATATTTCTTTTGATGTAAATTTCAGCCCATTGGGTTTCATATTTAACGATAGCTTATGATAAAAAAAAAAGCAGCGAATTATGACCTTTCATCGCAATTAAAAACTAAGTATGAAAACTGGACTTTGGGAAGCTATTGTCAATTGAAATTTTGACACAAGTTGTCAAATGGTCTTGGAACTTTATATGTTGTTTAAGACTATGTGTCTGATAAATGTGTTTGCCTTTTTAATTTTGTTTAATCTCTTTTCCTTTGCCGTATTCAAGTAAATAAAACTTCTTGCAGTAGCAGTTTTTCACAGTAGCAGTTCATGTACAATCCCGTTTCATTTATTTTATTGTTTGTAGAAAAGTTCTTATGAACAAAACTAAAATTACTGTCCCTATTTTTTTTAACTTGTGCTTTATATAATTTCTTTTTCTAATCGTGTTCACAATTCCTTCTTTCGATTTCAATTTATTTCTCTAAACCCAGTTAACAGTTATAAACATGGGATGAGAAGGATAAGCCAGAAGAAAATACTTTTTTGTTTCTGAGTAAAGAATGTTCTTTTGCATCTTACAGTTATAGTTTCAAATTTGTATGTCGTAGGAACAAATATATATATATATATAGTAGGAATATAAAGTAACAGAAATAAGAATTATTTATTTAAGTGTAGTAATATTAATTTAGTAAAAATTCCAAATTTTCATTAATTTTAGACATTTCTTGTCATGAAAATCTTTATCATAATTTAAAGTGATGCAACTATGGAATCGGGGCTCTTGGAAAGTCTAGATGCGGCTCCCGAAATTCTTAAATGCAGTTCCTATTGTCATGAAGCTTAATCACCCCTGGTAGTGTTTTTATGGTTCTACCCATGTGTAATGTAAAGAGCCCGTAGAAAAATTCTCAGAAAAGGTACCTCTTCCCTTCAGAGGGTAACTCTAGTGTGCTTGCCGTAAATAAATACTCCTTTTCAATTCCATATTATTAAGTGGTACACGATTAGCCGAGTGAATAAAACGACTGAAAATTGATCGCTCGACCCGAGCTCGTATTCCAGGGAACTGGCTGGTTGCATGAGTTTAACGTGAATATGAGGCATTTTCTCTTAAGTTCTTTGCAAAGGCAACCTTCCTGTCAGGTTTATAGCTCTCAAGTGCTTTATCTTAAACAGTAACCCGAATTTCATTTAATTAATGGATTTGAGTAACAGGCTTTATGTCAGTTTTCATTTTATTTTACATCTTGTCATGTGTAAAGTTTGTTGCGCCATTCTATGGCCTTCTGGTTTCGGTTTAAAAGTTTTACTTCATGATAGCCTCTTAAAATATACTGCCTGCTAATTGTCTTTTGAAGTTTTCCTCTGTGTTATGCAAGATCCCAGCTTTGCAACTTCATATAAGCAAAAATGGATTTTACTTCCGCTTTAAAGATAAGACCTTGAAGCTGTAGGGAATAGAAACTTCGAGAGTATCACCTGCTATAAATTTCGATTCAAATAAATTTATTTTGAACTGAACCGCTGATTTTGTACAGCAAAATGCTTTTCGTCAATTTTCTTTGTTTCATAATGAAACGCTTTTTTCGTCATTCCTCCTGTATACATACATGGAAAATCAGTAATTAGAACAATAATTGCGAATGAAATAAATTGACCTAAGCAGAAATCGTCCTACCTTCTATAAATACTCGAAATTGGCTAAACTCTAGCTAACATAGAGATATTTCAGTAATTTGAGTACTATTCCGTTACGTGAAAGAAATCAGTTGCAGGAATACGAAAGCATGGCAAGTTCCAGTAACTACTGTAAGAAAGAAAGTGAACAACTAAAGAACAATTTCTGCATCTTTAAAAATATTGCATTAAGTCTCACAATCTATATGCTGTTCCGCCCAACCGGTATAGGGGTTAGCGTCGCTAACTGCCGTGCCGTAGCGACCGGATTCGAATCCCGGAGATGGCATGTATGTTTGTCAATGTATAGTTTTCGTGCAGTATGGCGACACTCTAAATTTGCGTCGAGCCGAAAGCCCTCTCGTATGGTTTGGGGAAAGGAGAGAGGGGTAGAAGACCTTCGAACGCGTTCCCCGGGGTGTTCGCCATCAAAATTGGGGGCGGAACTGAGTTAAGTCGCAGTGTCACCTGAATGATGCTCAAGGCTGTTGCCAACGGCCTGCGTAATCTAGCGCTCCTTACCACGAGGACTTTTGTGGGCTTGGGCTGACTACGTCAGACAAGTGAGCATAAGCGACAGCATTGAACTGTTCTTCAACTTTCGAGTAGCTTCTATTGATGACTCCTCCCTCTGGTGTTTGCGATGGAGACGCTGTGTCGCAAACACAATTTGCAGCACGAAGTAGATGTGACTCAGAAGTCAATATATCGTAAACATTTCGAATAAGTACACCGGGAATATGGAATTTTTCTGTTAACGCTAACAATATTTTGACAGGAGTTTTAAAATATGAAGATTATCAGCATTTCTGATAGAAATAGGAATTCTTGCCACTTTAGTTTAGATAATTTCCCCAAAGGTGGAAATTAGGTCGATACTACGGTTAATCTTAATAGTTAGATTTGGTATCTGTTTCGGATTCAAAACAGAAATTTCTACATCGTCATGAATTATAGTTGGGACCTTTTTATTTCCAACGTAAGTATTTACTCTTTCCAATGGCTGCGTAATAATTCCGTGCCATTTTAATCATTAGGACTCAATCTTTGCTATTATTTTATAACTGGTCTTTTTTTTTTTTCCCTGCCGTTTCTATTTTGACGATGTGTTTTTTTCAGATTTGTTCTGTCGTGGGCAAACTATAGTGAGGTGCATTATTTTCCACATTTATGTGCCCCCCAAAGTCCTGCTATGCTGCCTCAACGTGGCGGGGGGTGGTCACTGGGCGGAACGGGCGAAGTACGTCGGGAGCCCTAGGCGTGAAGGCCGTTCCAACATGCCCAGCTAAAGCATAGCAGGTGAAGAACCCTCATGGGATTGCCGTCTTGGTGATCGGGTATCACACACCCGGGGCCCCAGTGACCTTTCCTCCTCTCTTTCCTCTCCTCTTGTCTAGCTCTCTCTCCTATTTTTCTCCCTTGTGATTTCCTCTACTGGAGGTTGGGGCTCACTGTGAGATGCAGCTACTACTCTTAGTTTCTGTTTCACCATGGTGAGAATACCGCCTATGCGTTTGCCGTGCATGGTGACCCGTAGGGTGGGAAAGGAGGATCCTGGCAGTTGAGGGGCGAGGTACTGTCCCCAACACACTGCTTTGGCCTCTGCTTCTACTTAAAACGGGAAGCGTTTAGCTGTCCCCGCTAGTGTCAATCGGCTGGCCACTAGTCCTATTGGTCAGTGGCTAGGGGATAAGCTCTCGGAAGTCTCCGCTTTTGGGAAAGCCGACTGTGGGGCTTCAGTTTGCGTATAGGCCCCGGCTAGCCCTAACACAGGGATCTGTGTTCCCTTGTTGGGCTCCATGGTGGGTGGGGCGGGTCGGGCCCGAAACCTTCTCTCTTTTCAATATGAAAACTTTAACTTCTTCTCCTAACCATATGGATACGAAAAATTCTGGAGCTGCTAAAAGAATTTGTACTTCGACCTTAATTAGCACAAACAAATGTCCAAAGTTCTTAGTTATCAATGGTGAGCTAGAAAATCTATTACCATTCTTCATCCATAAGCATATTGTGGCCTCAGCAGGCGAGCCAAAACACATAAAAAAAGCTCCGTTCTGGATCTCTGATCATCGAGACTACATCTGATGCACAATCTTCCTCTCTCCTAAAAATGACCAAAATGGGGGAACATTCTATTACTGTATCCCCACATAAGTCTTTGAACACGCCAAGAGGTGTCATTTCGGAAATAGACCTTGATATCAGTCTCTGAGGATGAACTTTCAAAAGAACTCGCCGAGCAAAATGTATGTGGCGTCCGCCGAATAAAAGTCCGTAGAGACGGGCAACTCGTTCAACACAAAACATCTTATCTGACTTTCTCCTCTCCAGAGCTACCGAAAGCCATTAAGGCAGGTTATCCTGAATTGCCCCCATCAGACCTTACGTGCCGAACCCACTGCGCTGCTTCAAGTGTCAACGGTTTGGCCATGCGAAGGCCGCATGCCGGGGAAACCTGGCATGTGCTCGCTGTTCTGCAGGTGGTCACGAAAGTCAGGATTGTGTAGCTGATCCAAAATGTGCAAACTGTCATGCCAATCATCCAGCATACTCACGAAACTGCCCTAAGTGGAAAGAAGAGAAAGAAATACAGCATATTAAGACTATAAGAAAAATCTCCTATCCTGAAGCTAAGAAACTTTTTAGCACGGGTCAGTCAAAAGCAAATGTCTCCTATGCACAAGCCACTAAATCATATCGGTCAATAAGTACACAAACATCGCATAGCACACAGAAGAAGACACCTGAACCAAAAACAAATGACAAAGAAAAAGTCTTTCTTCTACCTCCTCCCAAACAGACA